GTATGCATAGAAGAAGAATGCACTATCCTTCAGAGCAGCTGCAACAGAGCACAGTTAACGGTAGAAGATTCTGTTAAAAAAGAAAAGTTTGCTATCGAAGAAAATACTGCAGTGAAGCAAGCACTAGATGAGCTCACATACGAGCAGCAATGCCAATTAATCCAGACAAAACGTCACGAACAGCTAATGATTTCCACTCCTACCCGTATGCATAGTCCGGTCTGTGTTTACAACTAAAAGATGAAACACAGATGGCTGCATCATAAAATGTCTTTTTGTACATGACACCTAAGTTCAATCCTCCTAATTCTACTATTCCACTTTTACTGCAAGGATGAGGAATTAGAAAAATAACTAATGCTCACCGTAGAAGATGCGCGCTCCCTGGGCAACGGTGAGCGGGCTCGTGGTGGCCACATATGCTGCTGCCAAAACACCAAAAAGCGCAAGCAGCGAAAGCAGCAACAAGCGTGACATGTCGCAAGCAAAGACGGAGCTTTGTGGTGGCGGTGGCGGCTCCCATGCATAGGCGCTTCTTTTCGAAAATGCGCGATACTCACTGCTGGACGGCTGAAATAGTACATTCCTCAATGACACCTAATTCCACTTAAAAGCGCCAGAACCATTTCGACAATCACGTCCCGATGGTAATCAGAAACTGCAGGACACAACTCCAGCAACGATGCCGCGTTGCCGAAATCAGCTCAGTTACCCCTGATCAGAGGGATGATGCCGGACAAGAGCAGTGTTGGGGGACGGCATGCTGCATCACTTCTCATAGCTCATTCTTTTGACGTAAAAGACCTAACTAATGAAGCATGTAACTGAAGGAAGCGGTAGCGTTGGACCAGAAGAGAATAATGCTGCAAATCGTGAATCATTTCAAAGCAACGTGCAAGAAGGGGCCAACAAACTAGTCACAAAATTAATGGACCTTTGTGGTGGGCTTCTGGAAGAGAGTGAATGCACTCCAGCGCTTGCGAAGATTATTGAAGGCAAGCTGCAGCCAGGATGACTTCGGCATTGCTGAACTACAGCCAGTACTGAGTATGCGTGAGCTTTCCATGTGATCGTCATCGTCGTCTTCATCACTCCCGGACAGATCCTCGCTGCTCTTCGCGAACGCCAAATTCGGCTGCTTCTTTCGACCTTAACAACATCAACTTCCCAAAAATGAGGTATGTGGCGGATGGATGGCGCCATCTGTATGATAATGACTTTGGAAACTGAGCCCTGCAGAGCCAAGTGATTAAGACTGCCCCGATATTCAGTTTGAAACTTCAAATTACACGCAAGCATGCACACTCCTCTCCTCCCCCCACCTAGCTTCCCACATCGAAATGAGTGCCCGTAACTGAACAGGTTCACAGCAAAGCAGTCTATGTCACCTCTCAAAGAAGTTTCTGCTAATACTCTCCAAGATCCCCAAATTTTTAAGTTCACTTAATCCATAATTTTCTGCTTCGAAAAATGATAGCATCCTAACTTAACAATTTTTCGAACAATTTTGACAAAATACAAACAATTATTTTCATGCCTTGCAGACTTATCACATATAAACTCAGAGTCCCTTAGAACAGTGATTTGCGTCCAATTCGATGGAACGCCTACAGCCCTTCTCAAATCCACTATGAATTGTTAAATTCTCCAATCCGCTTCGGGAGGGGGGTCCAATTCTCTTCGAAACTTTCAGGGATGTTTCTTTGAATTTTCTGCAAGTTGGCCCAAAGAGCTCCCTCAAAATCATTGCGGTTTGTGAAGTCAGCTCCTTGTTTTAGAAGACAGGCTCACTTCTTGCGGATCCGGTCTATCCTGTAAAATTAGAATGATTTTGATTTTTGACTCCTGTCAATACGAACCACTTTTGTACAATCATGTAATTTTTTCTTCCCTAAACTTCTGCAGAAAGAACGAGGTCTGCAGAGACAAAAGAGGCATGGGAATTCGCCAAAACAGAGTAGCGCTTACAGTGAAATAATGTGACAGCTGGGCTGGTAATGTGCCGGGAATAAGCGAGATCGAATGAATAAAGCAAATCATTGGGAACTGGGATTAATGAAATATAAAATTTCGTTCACTGAGAAAACATACAGTGCTAGGTTAAAACACCAACCTGTTACAGTGGAAAGTGAAGCGGTCGGGGAATGTATGTAGTCGGCAAACTTAAATCGTGACTCTACCGGCGGCTGGTAACGCTGCGGTACTGGCAAATTCCGTGTTTTTTCGCGGATCTGCAATTAGAAACATTGTTTGGGCATTTCTTTTGTTAATCATAGCAAATTCTTAGATGAGCTAAACTCGGACGATCAGGGATTGGGTAGATGGCTTGGAACTCAACGTTAATAAGCAGGATATCCACACATGTATCTCCCTGCCGGACATATTATTATCGGTATTCTGGCACTCGTTGCAAACAAGATATTATGTGATTGGGCAAAAAATTCAGAATATATGAAAGTAGACGTGACAGGCTGTATTTTAGTATGGCAAATTCTCAAACAGTTATGTATCGGTTTAATGCTTCCGCTTCCGAAATCAACCATCTTTACAACTTTGTGGACTTCAGCAACCTTTTCACTACCCTATCGCATGTGAAGTTCGCTGGTAATCTGAATTATTTGATAGTCTATGAACGTAAAGGCGAGAGGTTGTACTTCGTTCCTTCAATGCATGTAAGGAATACACAGTCGTTAGGTACAAATCGTTATGGTTCACTAACGAAATCCCACTGATTTGGTCTACGACACTAAAAATAAAGTCAAAGAGATCATACATATCATTTTGTTGGAAACTTACATTAGGTTTAGCGGATATTTATTTAGACAGATACGGGGAGTTCCCATATGCGGTAACGCTAGCCCTGATATTGCAGACCCCACGCTGTCTGTTATGGAATTCCATTACATGTGCAGGCGCCCAAATACAAGGCTTTGTCTCTCCCGCTACACAGCTGGTATCCTGGTGGTTAACTGCCCGGATTTCACTAGTCTCGCCAAGTTCATTTACGAATTTACTCTTGCGCTCAACACCACTTGTTCCGAACAAAATGCTTATTTCCTTGACCCAGCAACCAGCAGGGAAGAAGGGCGGTGCACATTTGGCGCCTACAATAAAACTCTGCCTTATCCCTCTCCCGTCAACCAAGCCAGCCATCCCGATAGAGATGCTGATGACACCATACATGATGGAATTGTGATTTTCCACTTACTCTTATACACTAAAATCTATAGTACAATCCACAGATTCACATGCGGGGCCAGACGATTTATGAAAATCTATGAAAGTCGAGGATATATTACTAATAAAGTACACAGAGTTTTATTAAAAACTAGTCTCCGAAACTGCGCCATTAATTCATAGATGTTGTTAGAGCGGTGATCAAGAGTCTCTGCCTATTTTATATCCCACCCACCAGATCAATAGCAAACTCCATCGACGGGATCCCCAAACACACTGACAGAAAACAAGCACGCGCTCAGATTGCTACGATTGATAGTTTTCAGCTAACATGTCGTTATCTGGTGAACTAACGAATAAAAAGACGAAAACCGAGGCATTTCTGCTCCGTGTTAGTTCCTGCTCTTCCATCCTTTGTATTTCAGTATAAAGTTTTATTTTTTTATCTTCGCTGCTCTCCTTTTACCCTCTCTCTCTCCTCTCCTCTTTCCCTTGTCTTTCATCTTCTCCAGGCAATTTGGAATTGCCTTTTCACATGGAGGAATGGGGCACTGTACTGATGATCTCCATCACATTCTGCACTGACCCCTGCTGTCAGTGTCTAAAATTTAGGGATGAAACACGGACAAGCTAGCGAATCACGGCAAATACAGGCTTGCCTATACACGAGATCTAAATGTCACTTCTGGATGTTTTCGTTAAATTTCAAAATTCAACTATTGAAAATTTCTCTCCTCTATGGAGTGCTATACTAACCAAACTGCACATGTTAGTACAGAGATGATTTTAAGCTCTTCTTCCTCCTCCAATCTCCCGGTAACGGATATTTGCTATTTATATCCCTAAAATTTCCACAGCACTTTGGTAAACAGATTAAAAATAAATGGCCAATGCACGGGCTGCCCGTGCGAAGATGCGTTTTTTGCAGAGTTTCCCGCAGGTTTTTGTCGCTACCGGCATCGTTTTTCGGCAGATGCTTCTAGCTGAATTTCAGACTGGCCGCCAGAACTGTCAGGAAAAATCCCCTCAAAATTCCCAATCTTCTAGCCCTCACGTTCTCGAGTAATTAACTTACCCCGGAAAGGAACTTTTTCACGGGCCTGCACGCAGGTGCCACGCTTACCCAGTAATTAACTTACCCGGAAGGAACTTTTCACGGGCCTGTACGTAGGTACCACGCTTACCCGCGGGCAACTTACCCGGAAGGAACTTTTCACGGGCCTGTACGTAGGTACCACGCTTACCCGCGGGCAGGGTTTGAACTCGTTAAGGCCACTTAGACAGAGAACACCCCCCTAAGATTCCAGCTGTCTAGCTTCTCAGAACCCCGAGTTATTAATTTACGCGGGAAAAAAATTTTGAAGGGCTCGTAAGGGGGTACCACGCTTACCCGGGGGCTGGATTTGAGCTCATTAGCACCTGCTTGGAAGGCCTGTACGCGGGTACCACGCTTAACCGGGGGCTGGATTTGAGTCCACTAATAGCCGCTTGGACGGGGAACATTACCCTAAGATTTCAGTTTTCTAGCATCTCAGAACCCCGAGTTATGAATTTGCGCGGGAAAAATTTGGGGGGGGGGGAGGGCCGTGCGCGGGTACCACGCTTGCCCGGGGGCTGGATTTGAGCTCATGAACACATGCTTGGACGGGGAACATTACCCTAAAGTTTCAGCTTTCCAGCATCTCAGAACCCCGAGTTATGAA